GGCCAGGCAGCTCCCTGTGGCACGCGCTCAGGCCCCACCGTGCGTCCAGTGCCCGGCCGTCAGCCGGCCTGTGTGTGCCAAGGGGTCTCGGGAGCCGTAGTGACCGCCACCTTCTCCCCAGTAACGATGCGCCAGTTTGACCACCCACACATCGTGAAGCTGATCGGAGTCATCACGGAGAACCCCGTCTGGATCATCATGGAGCTGTGCACGCTCGGAGAGGTACTGGCAGCTGTGTGCCTGGGCCTCGAGGCATCCACCGGCTTCCCTTGAGAGAGGATGTGGGTGCAGGGGCTTCCTTACCGCGCCCCGGGCCTCCCCTGACTCATGCTGCGCGCGTCCTCGGCCCCCGGGCTGGTGAGCACAGGGCTTGAACCCCCGTGAGGTGGCCCCAGGCACTGAGCCGTGGCCTGCGGAGGAAAGCTGCCTGCCCTGCCGGAATCTCGGGAAGCCGACGCTAAAGCTCTTACTCCCCGTGAGAATTCACTTTGCAGTCTCTTGAGACCAGCTGATACTGGGGATAGTTTGGTTCAAAACTCTGAGGACCGAGATGCCAACAGGTCCTTTCTGTAGGCGCTGTTTGACCCCTGTGTCCCCGGGGCATGTTAGACAGACCCCGACCCCCGTGTCCTCCCAGGCCTGCGGAGTCCGGGCAGGCGGGCACCCTGTTCTGCCCTGACCCTCGGTCTGCCTGTGTGGGTGAAGGACAGATGGACACAGGCCCCCCGGCCTGCCCTGGACGCCAGCTGAGTAACTGGGCTGTGGCCCATAGCCAGCCCCTGCACAGTGCTGGTCCTGCTGCGGCTCAGGGGTCAGCGTCCTCCCTCCTCTGGGGAAAGCGCCCCGTCCTTCAAAGGGTCCTGCCCAGTGACCCCTGCCCGCGTCGGCCCTCAGGACAACCCTAGGTAGGCGGGGTTTCAGGCCACTCTGAACCTCCTCCTCCGCCCTCCTTTCTCCGTAAAACCAACTGTTTACTTCTTGGTCACCTGGTTTTCTGCTTTCGCTGTTGGAGAGGTGGTTCATTTTTCTGGCTTAAGAAATACTGCCAAGTCTTTCTCTGGTTCATCTTGTAGCACGAGTGCCCGCGGATTCTCCCTTGCTCGGGGTCATTGTGTGGCTGGACCGGCCCAGGGCCGGGTGGCCAGGAGGCTGAGCGCCCTGCTCGCAGGAGCAGGTCGGGCGGGGCCGGGCAGCTGAAAGGCCCAGCTGCTGAAAGGTCCGGCCTCCGCCCCGCGCCACTCAGCCCTGCTTCGTGCTGCCTTCCACTCCCCCGCCCCCCCGGGGGGGGAGTGTGTGTGTGTTTTAAGTAATGGTTTATTTTTACATCATTTTGTGGCTTTTTCCATCTCAGTTGTAGTCCCCGTGGGCTTCCCATTCACCCAATTCACACCAATTCACCCGTGTGCCATCCCCACAGTCCTGTGCATTTCCCTCCCCCCACCACCCCATTTTTGAGCCCATTCCCCACTCCACCTCCATAAAATATCTCTGGTATATAGTGGTTCTATTCCCCCCCGGTCCTTTATGCTCCTGCTAGGAGTGAAACCATCCGGGATTTTTCCTTTACTTCTTCTGGCTTACTTCACTCAGCACGATCCCCGGAAGGCCTGTTTTTTTCCAGAAATGTGTCCACAAGCATGGAGATTTCAGTTTCACAGTGGGATTTCAGATAGAGAAGGACTAACTGGCATCTGAGCTGGCTTCTTCCTTTCTCGCACGGTCTCACGGGAAGCTGGCGTGTCCTCAGGAGGTGCCCGGCATCAGCCGGTGCCGAGTGCAGCCTCCTCACCGGTCTCTCACTCTGCCGCTTCTGTCTCTTTTGTATCTGGTCGCTGTACCAAAGCTGAGATCATTTTTGCAAGTGAGGAAGTACAGCTTGGACCTGGCCTCCCTGATCCTGTATGCCTATCAGCTCAGTACCGCTCTGGCCTACCTGGAGAGCAAGAGATTCGTGCACAGGTAAGGCCCTGCCTGAGGCCCTGAGCTGCCTCTTTGCCAGCCTCCAGGTGGAAACAGGGGCAGGGCGTCTCCCTGGTCCTGTAACCCTTGTGCCACAGGACTCATAGGCCCGTCCCGCCCGAGGGACGTGCTGCTTGAGAACGTCCACGCGTCAGCTCCTTCTGCAGCTACTGTGGAGAGCCCGAGTGTGGCACGCGGTGGTGAAGGCGGGGCCCTCGAGCGGCGCTGTCCTGCGGCTTGGCAGGAGCCCCAGCCACGGGCGGCCACGTGGCACTGCAGATCTATGCTCAGGGGCTCCCGTGTGAATGCGTGTGAAGGTCCTCGCACTTTGGCTTCTCTTGGGGGTCAGAATTTTGCCGGCAGCCTTAACCTGCATCAGCAAAATCCTTTCCAGGCGCTCAGAGGACGAGCTTGCTTACTGAATAAGATTTCCTCAGGAAAGCAGGTCACAGGCCCTGTTGTGTATCTCGGCAGGCAGTTTGAGTGTATGAAAAGCTACCTCGAGCCATCATTCATGAGTTAGACTCATCATTTATGAGTCTGCCAAACGTTATATACTTGAAGTAAAATAATGCAGCAGTCTCTAAAATCACAGTCTCTCTGCATCTTGAGTGTGTACAGTCCACCGGTGGAGTTCAGGGTTTGTCTTTGCCTGTACCGGAGCCTGCTGACCCAGCTCTTTCTTATTAGGGACATTGCTGCTCGAAATGTTCTGGTGTCCTCAAACGACTGTGTAAAGCTAGGAGACTTCGGACTGTCCCGGTACATGGAAGACAGCACCTACTACAAAGGTGAGCCGTCAGCGGCAGGCACGAGGGCGCAGGTAGCCGAGTGCTTTGCGTTTCTTAAAAAGGGACGTCTGATGTTCACGGGTGACCGCGGACAGGGGCGCGCGAGCCGGCCCCTGGAGCGAGGACTGCCTGGACCTCCTCCTCGCCAGCGGACGGCGGGGACGCGAGCTAACCGCAGCCGAAAGCTCATCGCACGTCAGCTGCCCGTGGATCTGTGACTCGACTGTCAGACGTAGAACTGGAACTTTGAGGGCCTCGGGAAGAAGTCTCTGGAACCCAGGACGCGCGGAGCCTGCGACCTGACGCCGGTCGCGGCCCCTGAAAGGAGCAGAGCAGCGGGGCCAGAGCCCAGAGCGCAGAACACGGCCTGGCGAGGCCGCAGAGCAGTCCCGGCCTGGGCCTGGGGGTGGGGGCGGCAGTGCAGCCGCGCCCCTCGCTGCCGCGGGCGTGTGCGTAGCGCCACCTCTGGGGAGGGGCCCTCGGGACGCCTGCACGGAGCCTGCCGCCTGTCCCGCAGCTGCTCTCCTGGGCACTGCCCCCGGAGGGAACGCTGCGGCGTCGCACAGCACCTGCTTCTGAGTGTCGGCGGCTTCCCGGCAGCAGCCAAAGGCGGGGCTCAGCCCGGGCCCTCAGCTGGCACACACGCAGCCCTTGGCCCCGGCGTGCCAGTCTGAACCCCACTGGCCTGGCTCTCAAATCAGTGCTGAGAGAGACGTGGGCGGAGGTTTGGATCAGCACACCCGTGTTGTGCTGTTGGCGACGTGCCAGCCCCTGGGACTTCCAGCTTCAAGGCCAGTTTCCTGCTCAGTTTGGTGTTTATGACGGACCTGCATTGCACATGAAAGCTCGTTCCTCAGCTTTGACACTGGGCTCGCGACGCCGCCCCACAACTCTGCGCCCTGCAGCACACGCTGTCTTCTGGGGCAGGGTTCAAGTCAGCTTCCCACTAGTCTGGTCCCGAGCTCGAGCCCGAGCTGGCCCAGGGCCTGGGATTCCAGGCAGAGGGGCCAGGGCCGCATGTCAGGGCCGGTGCCGTTGACGAGTTCACCCCGCGGCCCGTGTCGGGTCAGCTCTGAGAGGGGCCCCAGAAGGTCAGGGTTCCTCCACGCGGAGCACGGGGGCACAACAGTCCGTTTTAAAGGACCCTGGTAGAGGGCTTGACCCCAGTTG